ATTCTACTTCCATTTGTACATTCGTAGTGGCGTTTGAATGCGATGTGGCCTATACAATGACTTGCGGGGGCCAGCCGATGTACAAGTCAGTGTTTTTATCCTCCCAGACAAGTCTGGTACCAATTAACCGACCCCGGAGGGATGGAAGGCTTGGTTGGCCCGGGCGACTCACGACCCAGGATTTGATCCCCGGACCGCTCGCGTGGTAAGCGTGCCACTTGTCACTACACCACTTCCGCCCGTAAAGGGAAGTAGAAAGAATTTTTGCAGTTCATGGTAGTTATTTATCCCCCACCCCCTCCCCTTCCTATCCCAACGATAGGACCGACCCTGCCTGGGCGGCCAACTTTCAGAGTTGGTGAGGCTGCATCGACGTTTACTGACAGCTCTCACCAAAGAAGTGCAGTGTTATTGTTGAACGATAATGTGGGCGAATGGATAGATTTGCCTGCAAATGCTTGAAAACCACTGCAAAGTTTACTTTATCCAGGCAACGTGGTGAATGAGTTTCGAAGAAGATCTAGCGAAAAGACCACAAGCTCCTTATGAGACGTTCTTTCTTGCCTATTGTGTTCAAACCCGGTACCAATAGACTACCATCTACCGTCACTATCGAATGAACTCGAAGAGGGAGAACCTGATGTGATGATCTGGATCTCGAAAAGGGCTACTTCGGAAAAGGCTTTCTATTCCGAAAGTTCAGAATTTCCCGACAACGGCATACACAAGTTCTGCTGAAATGTAATATGATGGTAGTGGGGCATGAACTTGTAAGCAGCTTCCAACAGGGTCAGTCCTATCGTTGTTACTTTTTCAAAATTTTTTACGACCCCCCTCCCCCAAGGTGGACTTGGTACGACCCCCTTTTCGACCCTCGACCACCATATTCTCTATAGTATTTAATTCTGGTACCACTCAACCCACCAAACTCCGCCCACTTTTTCCTCAAAAATGCCGTCGAGCGGGGGGGGGGGGGGGGTATATACCACTATGAAAAAACACCACAAACCCCTAAATTTTCAACCAATTTGCCCCACTTCCACCCAATGATCCTACTCGTGAAAACTCCACTTTCACCACAAACTCACATGTACTTTCACGCGACTGAAGCGGATACGACCCCCTCCTATAAACTCAACCAGGTACGACCCCCCCCCCGTTGTTACTAGTAACAACGTAGGATTGACCCTGGCTACAAAAAAGACTTCGGAAAATCTAGTTGTTCGAAATGGCGATGTGCACGACGACGTCACGACAAATCGGTACCTTTGCTGGATATCCTGCACCGAGCAAACTGTTAGCCTGCGTTTAATCTTCTGTTATTCAAAATTTTTCCCTTTTGCGTAGATTGTTGGCCATAGTGAGCTCAAAACCCATGCGAATAGTTGTAAGCAGGGTGAATAACGGTCGAGGAAATCCTCGACCATAGCTCTCTACCATGCGAGAGTAGTGCCGAGAGTGAACATCCGCGCGGAGAGCACAGACGGCACGGCATGGCGAGTGTGAATGTCCGCGCGAGAGATCGTCTCTGATCGGGCAGAGAATCCTCGACGTGCCGTTGAGGAATCCTCAAGCGATATTCACCCTGGTTGTAAGTATGGTATGAAATGTGCATCCAAATAAGGAGAAATTTGTTGCGGCAATAAAGCTAATCAAATTAGTGGGGTAACAGCGATTAATAGTGATCGCAGGCAGGGACATGTCCAGTCAAGTTTTTTGAACACAACCGTATCAGCGCGAAGCGGCTATGATGTCTGCCCTCACCCCCCCCCCCCCCCTGATAAACAAACCCGAAGTGTCCGGGTGCAGACCATGCACCACAAGTGACGACGGCCTTCACAAAATGTTAATGTTTTCTGCCAATGAAATGATTAGCCTGTTGCAGTTGTATTCTATCGATTGTCACTAATTACAACTATCATTTACCAGAAATCAGCTATCACTATGAACAACTTCTAACCAGATTTACTTGGAGGCCGTCGTCAGTTGTGGTGTTTGGTCTGCACCCGACACTTTCTCGCTTTTTGAAGGGGAGGGGTTGCAGTCCGTATCACGAAGTCTAATGGGCCTACACCTCACCGTCACCTCTAGTACGCAACGTGAATAACAACGTAGCGTATAAGACAGCAGATGGATATATAGTCCACATCTAGAAGTCCGTTTAGGCGTGTCACCAGAAATGTTGTGGAGCGCGGCTGCGCACTGATAGAAGTTTTGTGACAGCCCCTGGCTTGCCTGATCGTCCAGCCAAGTTGTTGGAATGGGCTCCCCATCGCACTTGTACCAAGTGCGACAGTCGCCACGTCAAAGTCCGTAGAACCGCCTAATCAGACGGTGAGATACGAACTACTGTTCATATCTCGAAGTCTGATTGGGCGTGTCACCGGAAATGACGTGGCGGCCACAGCACTTGATAGATGTTGTGGATAAAATACTCCGCAGATATCAGCAGTGTGTTGGAAGCAGGGTCAACCGTCACGTTCGAACATTTTCGGGATTTTTGCGACCCCCTAGCTCTCGAGGGGGTCCAGTTGCGACCCCCTGTTTTTGTTAATAAGAGTGCTAGACATGAATCCGTTGCGCCAGAAAGGCGCGACAGAAAGCGTTGCACCATTGCGGCGTCAGCCTTGGAGCGCGGCAGGTATCACCCGGGCGCTGGAAGAACGGGACGCGGCGAAGAAAAAATTTTAGAGGGGAATAACTTTCTTGGACGTACTTTTTTGACTTGTTGAGGTAGATTTTGATTGTGCCTGAGGTGCGCTTTCAGAAAACTACAAGGATTGCCTAACAACAGACGAACTAACTCTCCCGAGTAGTTAGAAATGGAAAACCCAAAATTCTAAGAAAGGCGCACCTTCAACTTTGAAGGCCCATAAAATCTTTCGTATGCGACCTTTTGGAAAGCTGTAAAAAGTTTCAGAAACTTCAAATATTTCTCTAACAAAACAGTATAAAAAGTTTAGTGATTGTCCCCTTTTTCAAAAAATTGTCCCGTTCGAACATTTTTCGTGCAAAAGCGAGTTTTTGGGCTTTCAGCGACCATAACTCACTTCATTTTCATTTCTGTGATGCACTTTTTTCATGGGGTGAAAGTACAGGATTTGCTCTTTCTAACAAGCCCCAAACCGTTTTTCAAAGTTCATTTTTCGAGAAAATCACACGTTCGAACATTTTGGGGGGTTTTGCCGAACACTTTTTTTGAAAATCGCGAGTTTTTGGGCTTTCAGCGACCATAACTCACTTCATTTTCATTTCTGTGATGCACTTTTTTCATGGGGTGAAAGTACAGGATTTGCTCTTTCTGACAAGCACCAAACCGTTTTTCAAAATCCATTTTCCGAGAAAATCACACGTTCGAACATTTTGTTCCCATAGGTTTTTGAGCAGCACATGCGAGTTTTTGAGCTTTCAGCAATAATAACTTCCTTCAAAGAACTTGTTGGGGAGGGATAAAGACATTTGTGAAGACTACGAGATTTCCGCTTCCTTACATTTCACAGTACATTGGAAGAAGCGTCCCCAAAAAATAGGTCTCCAAAGAACTTTGTTTTCAGCCCCGAGAAAGTCAAACCTTTCATAGGGATGCATCCAACTGTTCTTTACTTAAAGCCACGAGTCAGGATTAGGGAACATTAGGAAGTCCTTTATAGGGTGCGAAAGTGGGGTCTCCAAGCAGAGGGGGTGTGACGCTGTCGCGACAAGGAAGTGCGCGGCAAAGGCGCTAGGGCCTTGCAATTGTGTGCTGCCGTGCTGCGAGAATTTCCGGCAGCACAGATGTGGATGTGGTGCGTGGCTGGCCTAACGTGTGAGATCAGCTGAGTTGATTGCCGTATCAACCGATGGAACGGCTGGCATATCCAGAAAACTCGTTTGGACGTGACTCTCCCCCGAGCAAATCTCCTTCACTGCTAGAAGGAATGGGTTTCTATTTAGGTGTTGTCGACAGTTTTTTTTTCGTTTTTTCTTCACTATCGTTCCACCTCCCATCTCTAAACTCAATATCAGGTGCCATAATGCCGAAACACGAGCCTGACTTTTGCCTCAAGAAAACACCGTAATTTGCCTAAAACTGTCTCTCTGTGCATAATAATCGAATCTAATGCGGTCTGCACAAGCAAGTCTTGCCCTCGGATACGCCACGCACGCGCCTGTGGCTGGCAGTCCTCGAAATTGCGACCCCCTTCCGACCAAAATGCGACCCCTTCGTTCGAACAGTTCGAACGGACGGTTGACCCTGTGCTTGGAAGCAGCTTATCCGCGCTACTTCTATCAAGTGCGGTGGCTTCCACGTCATTTCCGGTGACACGCCCAATCGGACTTCTAGACGTGGACTGTATATCTATCGGCTGTCTTATACGCTACGTTGTTATTCACGTTGCGTATTAGAGGCGACGGTGAGGTGTAGGCCTATTAGTTCACTTTGTAAGGCACCGGCGCCATTGTTTCGACTTCTTAGCTGCGGCAATGCCACATCTGTAACTCTTGTGGGCATTTCCCTTTCACAAAATAACTTCGTTCTAGCATAATCCTGCAAAGGCTCTATGTAATTTCGTATCATTTCGACTACCTTGGAAAAATCAATGTTCTGTGAGAATATGTGACCAAAAGACGATCCACTTCACAAAAAAATGTCACTCAGAGCTGCTTTACAGGAACATATCGACAAGTTCTGGTGCGGATACGCCATGCACTCAACCTCCTGCACAAAACCACCGCTTCATTCCGCTAACCGTTCTCGCTTACACAGCATATCGCAGGAGCCATCCACATTTCGATCCTGTCTACGCTCCTCACAGTGTCTAACGAGTCTTAAACCAATTGATCGCCTGGATGGGTGAAAGCCTGTTTCTCTCCCCAAATAGCGTATCTCTCACATTGTCAACATACCGTTTTGAGCGGAACGCACGAAAAACTCAGAGAATGAACTAAAGAACGAAAAAATATACTAATTCATTGTCCTTTTTATAATCTACAATTCTTCACTATACGAACTGTTCTCCTTAATGATGTTCATGACCTTCACCATGTCCGTGCTTCGCGCGATATTTGTAGTGAAGTCTCTTTTCTTCCGGGACCACGAATTCGTATAAAGTAACACCAGCCTGAAATTCACAGGATGAGTTTCAGCTTCATTAAATAATCTCAACAATGCCGTGCCCCTATGCTATACACCAACTGGAACGCTATTTTCATTTAACTAAATTTATTTGGTGTATAGCACCCTTTTCAGGAAATTTCTTTCTACTTTACAACCGATATTTCATAAATACCTACAATTAACATACCATACCTACAATTAACAACGCCTCATCACTCAATACCGAAAGACGAAAGGTAACCGGTACCGCGCTCAATGACATCGTTACTATACATACACATTTAAAGTAGTAACAATAAAATCCGCTACAACGGATTTAATTCACTTCGTCAAGTTTAGACCGGCTATAAGTACTTTGAAAGTTATATTTATATCAGTATAGTAGCTATAAGTAGTTATGATGCAGTCAAAAAAGGCAGTAGATACCTCAATGACGCAAACCAACACGACGATGCGGAAAATCCCCTTCAAGAATTGCCCATATGGAGTTGAAGACCAAAAGTCCTTCTTCGTATTCTAAAAATGGAAATCGAGAAAGGAACACCCATGAATGCGCAAAAGGCGAAGTAACAAGTCCTACCGCACATGAATATAAAGCAAATTTCAATAGCAAAAAACAAACAACGCAACGCAAACTCACTATGGCATGGTGAAGAGAGTATGCTTCCTTCTTGGCTTTTCCGAACAAGAACAATTTCGGCATATTATTAATATTGTCCCATTTGCCTTCACTAGCAAGTCGATTCAGTTCTTTCCAAACTGCACGTGCATCACTTAACAACAAGGCACATAAATAAACTAAAAACGCAGACATGCGATTGTTTTCCTGGTCCCTACTCCATATATGGGTAAGCAAAACGGATCGCTCCGGCATGATCTTTTTCCTGAGAAGACCAGCCGCTGAGAAAATAACAAATCACAACTTTGAATTTTCAAAATAGGAGCAGTTAAGGTAAGTGTGAGATACTTTGATCATCAAACTGAAGAGCATTCCAAATGGATCATCACTATCTGATTCTACGGTAAGTAAAAAGCGTAAGTAAAACAAGCGCGAACCATGAATACCTTTGATGAACCACCATCGTAACTGGGATGCTTTATTCTACTTTATATTAAGACGCTCACTGAAGTACCATCAATTTTGAAATGTAATGTGGAAAGAAAAATCAACAATCAAAAAGAGGAATAGCTGTAATGCCCGCTTCTCAAATAGAAAACAAACTGACTGGGCATTGGTGGAAGCTTGCCGTATGGGGATGCGTGTAAGTATCCGAGAAAGCCCGGACATGTGGCACCTGCAATAAATTACATCAACGTTCACAATTGCGGATCAAATGAATCTCAAAGATCGAATGCGGAGAGATGCAGTAGCTTTTCTAAGGTTTATCACTAGATCTCAAGTGGAAGATGGACATGAGGTCAGCTGAATATTATAGAGACAACTTAAAGGTACAGCCCACGATCAAGTTAGGGTGACTATTCCTTCGAAAGTGAGCATATAGGTGCGAAGTAAATGTTCAGTGTTGAAAAAAGTGAAAAGAAAAACGTTAAAGACGTCGAGAAAACTCTTTCCTAAATCGCGGCGGCGAGACATAAGACGGGAGGGAGGCGTGTCTGGACTAGTTTTTCAAACATAGCACGAAGTTTCAGCGAAAAAAAAATGTTTGACCCTTCTCAACCTAATTGAGGCCGTAATAGTGCCGAACTCCTCAGTGCTTCAGGAGTGGAACTGGGAGCAAAACTGAAATACGGTCCATCCCGTCCAAAGGCAGCCCACTGCTACTCAAAGCGCTTAACCCGTTCAAACCACATATCCTTTATTGTGAACGTTTAGGACTAAGCCATAGGAAGGGAAAGACTCCCGGGTCCTAATCTGTCATTCAGCATAAGAACACATATAATGCATCATACAAAAACCTGAAGAAATAACGTAGGGATCTGATAGCAACCTCACAACTTCGAAAGACCCTTTAGCCGAATTGGCGACGCAATCGCACCAACGCCGCTGCTGGGTCAAATGTCGTCGCCCACTGCAATGCCCCTTTCACTAGATACCAGTAGAAGACTCCTCTGACACAGAACACCCAAACTGATCTGAAAACACTCACCTTGGTTGTTTCGGGGACAACAAAAGAACTTCACCAAAAGCTGTGAAAATATAAAGCGAGATGTTAAAGCGGCTGCGTAGCGGTTCCCATTTTGCGTTTGGAGCATTTTATCTCCTCTCTGCTGGACCGGTGCCAATTTTTTTTTCAACTCTGCAGGTGTCATTATTTCTGGTGACCTTTTTGTTCATCTCTGCAAGGATATTACGAATTAGGTGAATACCTTGCCTTTACTTCTCACTATTGTAAACTTCGAGTGGTAACGGTTCGACCTAATAAGTTGACGATGAGCTTTTTTTTTCCGCACCACAGAATCTTTTGAGGAGTAAATGAGTAGCATCTCCCCTGTTTCTTTTGCAGATTAGTATTTCTACACATGATATTTGAGCCTTAATGCATTTGATCCTTCAGTCAGGCTTTAGATTTCCGGCTACTGCTTTGAACTGCTCTAGATCTCCTTTAGAACCGGACATGTCCGGTGCCTCTTTTACCTCTGAGTCTGTTCGGTAGTTGTCGGGCTTCGTTTAGTTCAAATCAATACGCTGGAAGTGTGTGGGAAACTTACTCAGCTTTGTATTTGGTTGGAGAAGTCTCCTAATAATTTCTAATTTCGGCGCAATGTGGCTCGGGGGGGGGGGAAGAAAAGTCATCTAGGACTAAGCCTAAACAGCAGGGACGAACTCCGGAGAATACGAAAATTGCTTCCGGAGTTCCTCTCCTCTTCAAAAGCTTAGTCCTAAAACGGAGCGTTTCCGTGATTTTGACGCGATGTTGCGAGGTGCCCCCCCCCGAGCCACATTGCGCCCTAATTTCTAAGGAGTGTTGTGAATTTACTGATTAGGACTGTCTGGTCCAATTTCTCGTTCTCATCCCTTCTTTTGCCTCCCCTTTTTGAAAACTGAGCGCTTCTCAACTATCATTTGTTTTTCAGAACATGCAGTCTTTGATCTCTTTTTTTCAGAATCAGCATCGACTCGGTAAACACGAATGAAGGTCGATGAAAAGAACGGTTCTGTGGCTGTAGAACATAGTGGCGATCAAGAGGGTGTTGTGCAGTCTAAGGAAAATGTGGCGCAGAGATGGCTCAGAGCTGCGTCGTTTAAAGAAATTTTGGGATCCGATGCTAGCCATAAGGTAGTCATTCCTAATGCCACTTTTCTGATCTGCTGCTAATGGACCTCTAACATTCCATGTTTTTCTCATTTGAAAACCAGCGTATTTCTTTCAGTCACTTTTCCTACTTGTTGCACATGAAAGTGGCGAACAAGGTGTACTCCTTCTCAACAAGTCACCTTTCTAGTCCTAATACCTTCTCTGAAGTAAAGAGACATTGACTGCTACTTCTCGAATCGCTAAGCATGTTCTGTAGATAATGAAAAATGATATATTTGGAAGCTACGATGTACTTATTCCTTCTAATATGAACGGTATGCTTTTATATCTAACTCTCCACTAGGGCTTGTGTCAGGCTCCGCGAACCATCTGTGCGCAGAATATCGCTGTATTTCGCCATTTTTCGCGAACTGTGCGCGCGATTCACGCGACGGGTCACGGAAATCACAAGTGCCCGATCAATACTGCAAGGTGTTCTCCAATCCTGCCGCCACTTCTGCTTGATAGTGATGGCTGAATGACGACTGCTCATGATTCCACTTGTTTCATATTCAGTGTTTCAAATGTTCACACACTTGCAATTTTTGCGATCCGTCGCAGGTTTCGCGCAAATCGCGTGAAATCGCGTGAAAACTCAGCGAAAATCGGCACGAATTGCGGTACTGTTGACACCAGCCCTTACGTGGTCAGCGGATCAAGATTGTAAACTCACGTCTCGCGAGCTATCTACGACTTCATCTCTGTCGTGCGCGTTTCTCGCTAGTACTAAGATCTTGCCTTGCCAAAAGTGACTTTTTACATCGACTGTCTCCACATTATCATTATGACTGATTCACCCATCAAACCCCCAACTTTGAAAACGAGAGTAGAATGCGTGCGCGTACAAAAAGGGCATGGGGGAGGTTTTCTGGTTCGATGTCTGAGACGGCTTTTCCCTTATTTTACTCATGTCATGCCAGAACGTAGCGACAGGGAAGAATGTATCAGAGATCAACGTCAATGAATATTCAGTATGCAGCTGTGATAATCCCCGCTAATATATTCCTGCTAATGAAAAAGTGATAGCAAAGTATCGTCAAGAAGAGAAGTTCATCATTAACGAAACGGCTGAAGACTATGAAACGATTACCGTCGAGTACATCAAGAAGTATCAAATGGATCTCAAGGTAAGGTTTACGGAATCTATGCCAAGATTTCTAGATGAAAACCTAATTCAAAAGTAATGTGAGTCGTCAAAAGTAATTAATTTTAGTGGGTTTCACAGACCCACCTGTAGTTAGTGAGGTAGTCCGAGAGCGTGAACGCAGAGATAGCCACTCCATCCAACACTATGCCCAGGTGAAGCTTTGAAATGTTGAAAACTCTCGACCAATATGTGAATGCTTTTCCTAGCATTTTCACCGTTTTCTGTCTCACTTTCGTTTAGTGATCATCTATTCGGTGTTTCATTTGTACTTTAGCGAACTTATGATACGGTAGATTGTTGCTCTTTTTACCACTCAGCTAATAGCGCTAGCAGGGGAAGTATTGGCCTCATTACTGCGCTTCTTTTTGTGAAAGCGTTGTCCTCTCTCATTGATCGCTTGAAAGGATTGAACCAAAAACTTTGCTTTCACAAATCGCACGGTCCTTGTATTCAATTTCAGTGCTATACAAATGTGCTGTCAAAAGAATCTGAAGCAGACAGAATCATTTTTGAAGATCCGGATCCTCATAACGGTTTTATTCTGTCTCCTGACATAAAATGGGATGGCACGTCACTGGAAAATCTTTACGTTTTGGCAATGATTCACCGAAAAGGAGTTCGATCAATACGGTAAGTCTTACTTCTATTTTCTCTGTCAGGAATGTTTATCGTACTCTTGTCATTCTTCACGGGAATCGAGGTGTCCGGTTCATTAGACAGCAAGGCGACTTTTTGCGCGTTTCGTCGCGCAGCGCGAAACTTGAATCGTTGGCGGGAATCCAGGTCCGCCGTGGACCCGAAGGTTCCCGCAGCGAACCATCAGCGGACCCTGCAGATCCGCAACGCAACACATGTTTCGCTGCCTGCGCAAACGGCGCAAAAGTGCTTTCAAATGTCATAAGGAATCGATATGGTTTCCTCTTCATCGGAAATTTATCCATGTGAAAGAGGGAAATAGATAGGAACCAGTTTGGGCTGCATAGTTTTAGTATCCTAGTTAGTAATGTAATGGAGTCCAGGAAGTGATTTCAGAGTGAGTATTCGCCAATCGAAATGGCATAAAGATTTTTTTATACCTCAGATGTTTATCAGACAATAGTTGCTCATTCATATTTTAGGGATCTGACAGCGAATGATCTACCACTATTGGAGAAATCTCCGCTCTAAATCATTATCTGCAATAAAGGAGAAGTATGGTGTGCGCCCCGATCAAATTCGTGCCTATTTCCATTACCAACCGTGTTTCTATCACCTGCACGTGCATTTTGTTAGGTACAGTTTCCAGTTGTTTATGCTTTCGTTCGGATTTTAATAGAACCGCGACATCTTAGGACATCTTAAATATCCGATTCAGATAAAAATGTATTCCCGGATTAGTTCTGTTCCCTTGGGACAAATATTACACTTGTTTAAGGGGAAACACCTAAGCGCGCTATGAGCGCTAATGTTTTACATTCGTTCTAAGTGTAGGAGACTGAGGCAAGTGTTAGGCTTTGCGATTAGCGCGGTGTCGATAGTGGGTGCGCGAATCGCGAATGCAATTCTTGCAATGTGCCGCTCGTGCTGCGGTCATCGGCGCACGCATAGTCGGTCGTCCGACAGCAACGATCGCAACTGTCTGACTGTCTAACTGCATCTAATCGTCGAATACTCAGGCAAGTCCGACGATCGATACGCATCCAATGCTGTGCGACAGTTACGATCGTTGCTGTCGTCCGACCGACTATGCGTGCGCCCAAGAAAGCGCACGTTCAGTGCGCACCCCACGTGAACGGCACATGAACAGCGTGGTGTGTTTCTGTGTGTTTTCAATACAGATCGCGGGCTCTGACACCAACCTTGCGATTGCGATTCGTGAGTGTGATTGGCACGGTCCCTATATCTGACACAGTTTTACTCCAAATATATTTTTTCCTTACTGATTTGATGGCCAAAGTTCGGTCGATTTGATCGTCTCATATGCAACGCACACTCCGAAGGTGATTCTTTGCTGGCGTCATCCTTTCTTCCTCAACCATCTTCATCAGAGTATCTGGTTTTGAAATGCGCTCTCTTCTGTGTAGTGTGCCATGCGATTCCATAGATTGGATGGGAATAGGAGCCTTATACAAGGCATTTTCGACGTTATCTTCTGTTTCTTTCTTAGTCCTATTTGTTCTGTTGCTTAAACAACTGCTAATATGTGTTGCTGACAAATTGCTTTAGTTTGAAATACGATGCGCCGGCCAGTTCAACGTTGGCTGCGGTTCTTCTCGATGATGTCATCAATAATTTGAAAATCGCCCTGCCCTGCTTTTGTTATGGAAATGCTAAAGTCACGCTGAAATTATTCAGATAAGTTCGGCATCGCTTCACTTTTTTCTTACTCGCGTAAACGGGAGGGGGAAATCTGCTGTTTCGTAGGCTTTATGTAACAATGTGGAACTTACCCCTCTCCTACTTTTCATTGGTTATTCTGTATTCGGGGAATGAGAGAGTCAACGCAAGGTTATTCGTGGTGATATTTATCTCATTTGAGTGCGGGGTTTTAATATCTTATGTCATGATTTTAATATCTTATGTCAAGGTGTCGAGAAGTGGTGCTCTTTTGTAGAGCTTTTCGATTAAGCTTTTTTCTTGGTGGGTGCACTAGAATACTTGTTTGATAGTTTGCAGTTCAGTTTGACCATGATGCATGAACTCTGCATGGATCATTCAAGATGTAGAAATGGAATTTCTAGGGTTTTCTAACATGAAATTCGGCCATCCGGTAAGAAGGAGGGGGGACATCGTATGAAGTAATAGCTTTTTTGCTGGGGAGGGAAAATCCGAGGCGGGTGTAAAAGTTTGAGAGAAATGGTTCACGCGCCCCGGGGTACCCCCCCCCTTGTAACAATCGGAATCACTGTAGCCCACAAAAAGAGTGTAGCACCACGTATCCCCTCACCGTATGAGTGTCTAAAATCTCCTTTCCATTGAGGACAGCACAATGGAGACATCTTTATTAAAAACAATAACAATATAGTAGAAATGCTTGGGCTCTCCCTGTACAGGGATCCACACCAAAACCCTCAATCGTATCAAGATCAAACGCAACAGTCAAGGATCAGAAATTTCGTGAAGAACGAAAGCCCCAAACGAAGAACGAAACCTACGCAGGAGAAAGCTCATGAATACCAATCTTCACATCAATGCTGACTTGACAGAGAAGGAAAAAATTGATGAGTACCAGTTGGATCATCAGGTTACGTCGTGAAGAAGTCCATATATCAGAGAATCATGCGGCCATTGAGAAAACACACCGTAATGACGATCAAGATCAGATTGTTCTTATGACGGCAGAAGGTCGCATATGGAATCACAATTTAGATAAATTCGATAAAGCAATTTTCTTCTTCGATACAGGAGCACAAAAAACTATAATCGAAGAAAATTTTGCAATGAAGCTCGGACTTCCCAGTATAAGGACAGAAACATGTACAATGTCAGGAATCGGAGGCAACACAGAAATATTCAAGAGCAGCATTGTAAGCGTCAGAATAGGTACTGCCTATGGAAAGGACATGGAAATTCTGATACAAACCAAGCCAGTCCTAACGAAGGGATTTCCTGGAGTTCGCTTGTGTGCTGTAGATAAGCAATTCCTTCAGGACCGGAATATTCTTGTCTGCAACCCGAACATACGAGGTGAACACCAACTGCCCAAAATCCTGGTGGGGCTTGACTACTACTATAATTTCATACTCGACAACAGCAGCCTCATAACTCCATCAGGCTTGCGTCTGGCAAATACAGTCTTCGGCCCATCGATTCACGGACGTGGATCGATCGATCCTCAAGACGTCACTACAACGATGCCTGCAATTTCTTACAACATGACTGCGATTACGGAAATGACGAAAAGCACGATGCCTGACAAGCTCTTCGATCCAGACGGCATGGGAATCCCAAGTGAATGCAAGTCGGAGGACAACGAACTTATGAAAAGCGCGGACGAACAAGTGCAGACAGTCAAAATTTCAATGCGCAATAGACATGTATGGCACCGACCACTCGACAAGATCTGTCCTTTGGAAATTCCACCCATGCGGCCGGGACGATTATCAGAAATCGCTGCCTAAAGGCCACAATCATTCTCCTAATCAACAAATATGTTGGGCCAAAACAGATAAACACCGCCCTCGCGAAAAGATACAAGGGAAAGCACAGTCATTCGAGGCGCGATAAGATCTTCGAAAAGTAAAAATGAAACGAGCCGAACCTTTCCGCTCCTGGCTAGATCACTACTATGCATACCGATCCTCATGGTTGCGCTTTTCTTCTGTCACGCAGACGCTTCTACCACCCACTTTTGTGCGAGGACGGAATGATCAGAGTATTTCTGCCTAACGGCACGTTTGAGATTTGCAAACGCTTCTCAGTAATGCCGACTGACTTCTCTCTCCAACTGTCATCAACAGCTGCAAACAAGAGCATATCCGTTCTGATGAGATACACAGCCCAAGCCTCATTGAAGGAATTTTACACCACTTGGGCTCTTCCACATACATGTGAGGCGTATATGCATATGTGTATATGTATATATGTATACGCACTCGCTTCCATTCCATTTCATGTGGTGAAAAGCATACAGCTGCGACGAAATACGACGTCAAGGAAATGTCCAAACGGTTAGCACTGCTAACTTGTCCAGACAAGCATCGAAAGTTCGATTCCCGCGACAGAGACACAAAGACGTACGAGCACCGCCGCCGCAGCTGTGCTAACGAAAAAATCGACCTCAAAACATTCAGCCCGCAGCGCCTTAGCATCACCATCGCAGAGACTTTGTATTAGTCATGCTTTCCGCGCAAACACATAACTCGAACCCCGGCATGCTAACAAGTGTGGCATGGCCTGCTCGTATTGTGGTCAAGACCACAATGTGCTGTTATGCCCTCACAAATACTCGAGTGCTTCGAGTTCATTCAAAAGAAGGAAGATGTAAATCTTCCCTGGCCTGGAGGTTGCACGTTCGCGCAAACGATCGTGCGACCCTCGGCCCCTCCTTTATCCCTTACCCTACCCCCTTTCCGTCGTATTCAACCACTCTCCCCCTCTTCCA